TTTTCTTTTTGCTTATGTGGTGCTGAGGAATCGAACCCAGGGCCTCAGGCATGCAAGGCAAGCGCTCTACCACTGAGCCACCTTCCCAGCCCAAGAAAATTATTTCTTAAATTGGGATATATTGCTCTTCTAACAATATACAGACTCTAGAATCAGAAGGATTCAATGAATTGTATATTAATTTTTTTTTCAATTGTGGGGCTTGAACTCCAGCACTGTCCCTGAGCTCTTCTGCTCAAGGCTAGGGCTCTGCCACTTCGAACCACTTCTGGGTTTGAGTGGTTAACTGGAGATGAGAGTCTCACAGAGATTTCTCTGCCCTGGCTGCTTTGACCGGAGATCCTCAGATCTCAGCCTTCTACTAGGCGTGAGCCTAATGCTTAAATTTTTAAATAGGTTCTGAGAAATAAAATGAGCTCTCTACGTGGCCCACAGCACAGCTTGAGCAGAAAGAGGACTTCGCACAGCTGCTGGTGATGAGTTTTGTAGGCTGGGTACCAGACCAGGCTGCACAGACACATACAGGCTTGACCTGGGAGATCAATCTGGGGTGGCAGGACTGAGTTGTGTGACAAAGGCCTAGATGTAGAGCCCTGCATTGCATGGGAGTGCATCACGCTTCACGAATGCCTGCTCAACTGGCTGTGGGTAGGGTTGGTGCACTTGTTAAGTCCTGCTGCACAGAAGATTGACAAACCCTGTCCAAACTCAAGCAGCCTTGTCCTGAAAACTACCAAGCAAACTTCGCGTGTGGCGTGTGATGACGGGTGGCCACAGGGTGTGTGAGATGACGACTTGAACAGAGTCCCTGGGACAGGGCTGACCCAGGACAGGTGGTGAGTGGTCTGACCCCACCGGCCCCCACCCAGCCCATCTCCATGCAGGCGCTGGGGGTCCACAGTCACTTTCCCTAGGGGTGCTGGGGACTGCCAGAGTGGTAGTGCATGCGTCCCCCGGATCAAAGCGTGGGGACCCTGGTATCCCCACACTCTTGAACCTGCACACCCTCACGCTCACACATCTTCACACCTGCACACCCTCACACACACACCCTCACACCTGCACACCCTCGGACACACACACCCTCACACCTGCATACCCTCACATCTGCATACCCTCCTGCACACACACGCGCACACACACACCCTCGAACCTGCACACTCTCATACTCACACACCCTCAAGCCTGCACACTCTCGGGCCCTCACACCCTCGGGCCCACACACCGGCTGTCTTTGCAGGGTTGCGGCCCTCTATAAACGGCTCACGGTTAATGGAAGGAGCCCCGCGGCCAGGCCGGTCCAGCAGCTCGTAGGCCGCGGGGCCCCGCAGAGGCGCCACCCCGCCGGGCCGGTTGGTCTGAGTCCGGGAGGCGCGGGCTGCGGGG